CGACATCTGAAACTTCATTAATTATTCTTTTGGCTCATTGTTTATCCATCTGTGTTTGTTTCTCTACGAAAACAGATTTCATTATTTCTGTAACTCTTCATTCCTGGAAGTTGAAGTGTTCTTGAACGCACCGCGATAAAGGAGTTTTCCCTGCTTCACTGCTGCAGCGTTTAGAATGACATAACATGCAGAGAAGTATTATATAAAGAGATAACTTTCACAAACAATACAATCACCCAACCTTATATTTACTGTGATGGATGAACTGTCTGCAGCAGGTTTATTATTTTACTGTTTTAATATCTAACTTTTATGCTTTGGAAACAGTCAGTAATTAACTTATATTGGACCCAATTAGAAACTATTGGCTAACTACTTCATCAATCTGTGCATATCATTTATTTTTAAATAAGCTATTTACATTTTTAAAGGTCAGTAAAAACTCAAATAAGGCTGTCACAATTATTTTAGAGTGATTAACTATCCACAACCAATTGTATTTCAATTATATAAAGCAAACTGAATCTGCACATTTGAGTTGATATCATGGCAAAACAGATCTGCAGAAAGATGCAATTAAAGTTTCATGAATAAATATCAGAACAATGGAGATGTCCTACTTTTCTGCATTTTATATAATTACCTGAAATAGTCCTTTAAATGCTGCAGAAACGTGATGTCTAACAATCTAAAAATGTTCATTATGCATCTGATCTGCACGAGGCTACAGCGATTAAAATACATCATCATGAACAAATGTCTGAAAATGCTACTTTTTTGCCTCATAATTGGAGATTTTATGATTTTCTTACTGAATTTAACTGAATATTTTTAAGATTGAACTGATAAAACAAGACATTTAGAGACATCACTTTGACTTGGGCGAACTGGGATGGACGTCTCACATAATAGAAAGGATAGCACATGAAAATAATCTTTAAATGGTCCCTGTTACAGCACTTTAAAAAGCATTAAAGCAAAACAACAACAACCAGTAAGTATACCGAGGTTATAGTTATATTTTCTTTGAATGAGTGACTCCATGGAAAGGAACCAGTTTTAAAAACATCGCGTGTTTAATGATTTTGAGTTTCACACACTGTAGCTGCTGTTAGTCATTAAGCTTATCAAGTGCAGCACACACAAGGCACAGATCATCAGGAACAGTATTGTATCATGAAACTTAATGTTAAGAGTACAGGGGAAGCAGCAGAGAGTGAAAGTGAAGAGGAATGCTGGAAGATTCCACAGAGCTTCAGGAATGCAGAGGAACCAGGAGGCCTCGAGCCGTCCAATCACAACACAGAGCTCCGGCTAACAAGTGCCTTCCTGTTTGTGCGTTCACTGTGAATTCAAATTATGAATTATTATTTTCCACTCTGAGGAGGAAGACAACTCATCTGAGAGTTCATCTGTGAGACATGGGAGGATTCATTTGTTACGCACGAAGCAGCTAGCCAATCAAGCCACAGCCCGTTAACGCCATGTGGTGAAATACCGTACATCCTCAACTGTGAGAAGAATTACAATTTCATTTCAAGCATCCTTATGCAAGGACTACTCTTAAGCAAATGTGTATTTCGGTGGTTGGTGTAAAATTGTGGAATTCTCAACAGACGGATCTAAAGAATTGTATATGTATTTTTCAGTTAAAGAAATTGTATAAATTAAGAAAGATGGGACTATATGAAGCAGAATGTGAATAAGTCTATGTACTCTGGTCCTGCATTGGTAAATATTGTTGATGTGATGTCTGTTCTTCATTTGCAGGTCCCATTGTTGTTGTTGTTGTTATTATTATTATTATTATTATTATGCGCCGCTTTCCACCTTCTTCTCCAGTAGGACTCAGGTGAGGGTGTTGCACTTTTCCTTTTCCATGTGATGTTTTGGTGTTGTTGTTTTGTTTCTTTCCGTTAACCGTCAAGTGTAAAATAAGTATTTTTTGTGTTTCTCTTAGCATCCTAAGATACTGTTATGTTTGGCTGTGAACATTTTGTTTTACTATGAAGGGCAGACCATCTATTTTCTATTTATTTTTAGAAAGGGGCAGGTCATATAAGATGACCCCTCCCTGCTCCTTTTCGCTCAGTGGTGTTTGTAGAGACATGTTTTGTTGGCAATTATTGTACATTGGGTTTTGCGTACCATGAGCGGAACAAATACAAATTAAATGAAATTAATCCAGAAACACAGACGCAGCTGAAGATACCATAATAAATATCAAACAGCAACATGACGTGTAACTGTTTTGATGCCTTTTTTGTGTCCCTTTGAGTAACCAATAAGAGCTACATATGAAACGTAATCATAATAAGTATCCTCGCAGAGCCCTGGCTTCAGAAGAGGACGTTCAGTAGAGCCAAACAAAGTCTTGTCACTGCCCTCTGCTCTACTTTTCAGGAATGGACCTGCAGTAGGTTTTCAGTTTGCTGCTTTAATGCTGCGTTGCACAATCGAGGTTAAGAGATAACGAGTCATAACTCGCTTCGGCCTCTGGAGGAACATACCTGCTTCTGAGATGTTGTTTTCATCAGAGGGATGCTTTAAACACTGATCCTTAACGTGTTCTGTACTGAAATGATTGAGGAATGATGTAATTGTTGGGCAATATAGAAATAAACAATGTTAAGTGTTTGTGCTTTTTGTTGGAGTTGACTGCAGGGAGCAGAAGGGAAAAGAGAATATACCAAAATAATCATAATGTTCAAGTTAAATCAATAATACAAACAGTGGCAAGCTGCAGTTCTTGGTCTCAAACTGATCTACAAAAACATATGGTTCTCCTACGATGATGATGACCGACTGAGCCCTGCAGCAACTTCAAAATGTTTGGCTTATTTGAAGCTAAGGCGGTGTTTACACGAGAAGGAAACAGGTTGTATCTGCTACTTTTCTCTCACGTATAGCCCGTTCGTTCACACGAGGCCATAACGGAAACGAACCCCGCAAACGATAACAGGTCCCAAGGTGGATAGATCTGCAACCGGAACCCTCTGGGGGCCAAACGGCTCTGTGTGTATACGATCATTTCCTGATAACGATGAAGCCATAGCCCCGTCTCTGCTGTAGCATGGTCAGTAGCGCTACTGACCATGCTACAGATGTTAGTGCAACATCTACAGCTCCTCACAGCCATCAGCAACAAGTGGACATGGAGGATTACATGAACTACATGTTGCTAAATCCACCGCGGGGCATAAACAGAAGGGAAACCATGTTCGGGGTCTTCTTCGCTGCTTTTGGTGTATTTTGTGGCGCCACTTACAGGCCCGGCATATGTACTACAGCGTCTCCAGCGCTTTGGAGTGGTCTCATGTGAACGGAATACTTTTTTGATATCGTATTCGGTTAGTTTGCGTTTCGTATGCGTTTGCATGTAAATGGGATCTGAAGTACCCGCAGGATTGTTGCTGTTGTGAGTTTGCATCTCACAACAGTCATCACGGCTAATGTTCAGCGTGATGACGTTTAGTCGTCTGATATTTAGTCCCTTGTTTGCAACCGGTTATTAAATTCAACAATGGGGCATTCACGGACGTGTTTTGTGTCGTAGAACAAAACGTTAAAATCTATTCAGTTTGTGTTCAGCCACTGACCGCATTATCAGCTTCTAACCACAACCACATTTAAAAAACTGTTCAACGAGGGAACAGGAAATGCTAATTCATTTACAGGTTAAGAACCATGTGCGATATGTGCAATATGTATACATGCCGGTAATAACTGTGCTATACCTGGCTGCTAAATCCTCAGAACTGTTATAGGATGTGTATTTAGTAAAATGTGTAATATTTTAACATTTGTTATCTTTAATATTTTTTTTTATGCATGCTTCTTAGTTAACATTAAACTGTCTTTGGCTCTTGTCTGCTGTAACAAATGTAAATGTCCCCTCTGTGGGACAGATAAAGGTATTCTGATTATGATCTGATTTGCCGACGTATTTTTGGTCGTTAAATCTATTCAGCTTGTGTTAACCACTGACCTTATTATCAGCTTCTAACCACAACCACATTTAAAAAAAACTGTTCAACGAGAGAACAGGAAATGCTAAAATGCAAATTCATTTACAGGAAGAACACAACTCTGCATTAGTATGGGAACTTGACAGTGCAGTCAAAGTCACAGATCGCTCGTCTGGTACAGACTGCTATGAAAATGATGGCGGTCAAAAAACACCCATCTCTCCAAAACATATATGAGCAGTCCATTATCAGACAGGCAGAAAACATTGTGTCTGATCCCACCCACATTCTCCACCTTCTGGTAGAAGATTCAGGGTTCCCAAGAGCAGGCTGAACCGCCATAAGCACTCATTCCTACCTAGGTCCATTAAACTTCTTAACACTAAGGTGTAAGGAAATTTATTCAAAATAAACGTGGATTTGCGTTAAAAAATAGTTTTCCGGGGTTCGGGTGTTTTGTTTGATTTCAAATAAACAAACTCTTGGCTTTCAGAATATTAAACTTGTTTCGGCAAATTCAGATGATAAATACAACTTTGAAGCTTGTAACGGCTTATTTACAAGCGGAGAACGGAGTAACTTAACGTCACAGCAGGCATAACAACAGCTGGTGTTTCTCGTGAGTGTTTTCCCCGGGAAACAAACACAATACACACAAACGCAAAAATACACACACACGCGAGCTTCCCCCAGACCAGTAATCGAAACGAAAATATCTTCCCTCCGTAGTATTTTGATCATTTGCTAATAACCAATCAGATCGATGGATTCCAGAGAAGAGGAAACTTTGAAGGCCTTTTTCTCAAAACGATGACTCGGTGACAGTCATTATATAATGTGACATATTTTGCTTGATATTTGGAGAACAAAAACAATCCTGATATCATTAGAAAGCTAGGACTCTCCTCTTTCCAACAGTGTGTACAACTCAAAATGTATCTCCGGGTCAATGCGACTGATTTCGATAGAGCGGGTCACACATGTCCTTACGGGGACAATAAAGTATATCGTATCGTATCAGTGACCTCTAACCTTTGAGACATGAATACTGACGGTGTGTTGACGGTGCAGCTGGTCGTACCTGATCTGCGTCCCGGCGGCTCTCTGCCGGGCGGTGGAGGTCTGCTGCCCGGCTGGGAGGAAGGAGAGGGTGAGGGAGGAGGAGGAGGAGCTTGGCTGCGTCCTCCTCCTCTTTCTCCTCCTCTTTCTCTTTCTCCTCCCCCTCTCTCTCTTTCTCCTGAGGTGTGTTTTTTGTGCAGTGAGTTGTGCCTCTGCGGCAGCTCCGGAGCTCCGCCTCCATCCACGTGTGACGGCCCGTTGGAGACGCCGCTCGATGTGTTCGGTCTGTAAGGAGGAGGAGGAGGAGGAGGAGCAGAAGAACCGCCTGTCGGGGGTCGGCTTGAAGACGGAGGCGGCTTCACAGCGTTGGGAGAGGTGTGGCCTCTGCTGGGCGTCGGAGGGAGGGGCTTCTCTCGGCTGTGATTGTTGTTGGAGGAGGAAGGTGGAGCGTGTGATTTCTGATTGGGTGTAGGTGGAGCGTTGTTGCGGGCTCCCCCTCTGTTGAAGGGGGGAGGGGGAGGGGGGGCGGAGGTGCTGTGCTTCATCCCGCCGGCTGAGGAGGGGCGAGAGATGTCTGGGAGCGAGGGGCGGTGGGAGCGCTGGTTCTCAGGAGGGGAGGGCTTGTTGGCCATGGAGGGAGAGGAGGAGCGACCTGTGGGGGGGCGAGGGGCCGCGGGCCGGGACCCAGGGGGCCGCAGGGCAGATCTGCCCACTGAACCTCCGGAAGAACCATCTGGGTGAAGGACAGAGAGGAAGGGGTTTAGGACACAACAGAAGAAACTAAAACGTTTTAGATTAAAAACGTGTATTATAAAAAAGGGACTCTCCCTCTCCTGTAGTGTGTGCTAGAGGTTTGTGTGCATGGAAATGGTCTGCAAAGGCTAAAATCCCTGTTCTCCCTCTCTTGTAGTGTAGGGCTTCTCGATTATGGCAAAAATCATAATCTCGATTATTTGGGTCAATAATTGATATCATGATTATTAAAAACGATTAACCATTTACTTTGAAAACATAAATTTATTGGAGAGAAAAACATTTGGACAGTATGTTTTTAACAATTGATTACCCTGAACTTTAAGAATAATTCAACTGAAAAACCAATAAAAAGATATCATAATAATAATAAAAAAATAATCGTTTTATTTAGATTACGTTGTTTTTGTAATCGTTGCAAGCCATAATCGTAATTGCGATTAAAATATGATTAATTGAGCAGCCCTACTGTAGTGTGTTCTATAGGTGTGTGCATGTAAATGGTCTGCAAAGGCTAACATCCCTGTTTGCCCTCCAAGGGGAGTTTCTCTCCCACACATTAATCAATTAATTGTATTTAAGTGGTAAGAAACAAAGTTAAATAAATGAAAATATTTGACGTAAACTCATTTTTATTGCTTTTATTTTAATACCGCAAACTGAGTATTTTACATTTATCAACTAAAAATAATTTGCAGAAGCCACAACCGATATTGAGTGTTTCACATCCTCTGAACAGATTTCTGACTACACCCAGGAGTTGAATGGTCACAGTGGTTCTGTGTCATTTTAAATATTTGATATCTCTAAAATAAAACTGTTCATTAATAATTTCAATCCCTCGTTCTTCATCGCTTTGGCTGCGACCACAAATATGCCTGCTCCGTCAGAGAGGAGTGGAAAGCTGGTCCATTAGGCTTAAAATAACCACAGCCACGTCCAGATCTCCTCATGATTCATGCCGTGTGGGCTTCTGAGTGCTCTCTGTGTTCCGTTCTATAACCACATCATGAACGTGGAGGAACAGATTCACGAGTAGAAAAACAGGAAAACTCAGTAGAAATGTAGAATGGTCTTCTTCTCTCTTAGTTTTTCTACTGCAGATAACACGGTTTGTTTGTAGCTGAAATGGAGAACTGACAGATTATGATTGAGGTGATTTATGACTAGATTGTCTTACTGGACTTTGACTTTTTGTCGCCTCTGGTTTATTTATTTACACAAATTACCAGAGCACTTTTACAACCTATAAAGAAAACATGCAAATTCATAAACAAACATTAGAAACTAAAACGACCTCATCGTTGAATGGCTCCTCAAAATGTCCTCCCTACACTTCACGCACGCTCTGAGATAATGTGTGAAATTGTCACCGTGAGCATAAGAGTGAGGAGTTACAGCTAAAGTGTATAATGTGAGCTAACAGGGACCTTTGAGCACCAAAGTCTAATCAATTTGGGAAGTGTATTATTATTAATTATCTTTTTTATCTTCAGAAATGTATTCATGATGTACAACTTGAATAATTATTTAATATTGTTATTTTAATATTATAGTTTTTCTTTTGAATTATTATTGTTATTTAAGCTTTACCAATTTACTTACCATGTATACTTTGAAGGATTATTGTTTATGTTGTTATTTATATTATATATTTTAGGGATGTCCCGATCACCTTTTTTTGCTCCCGATCCAATTCCGATCATTTGATTTTGACAATCTGCCGATACCGATTTTTCCCGATCCGATCTTTATGCAATGCTTTAAGAGGAAAAAAGGTAACGGATAACGGCTGGTCATCCAACGCGATGAATTCAGCTATTTTGGCTGTTATTCTTTTGGCCTTTTCACTGTTCTGGGGCAGTTTCTCTTTCCTTTTAAAAGTCTCTGGGCGGTTGTTTCAGTGCCGTTACCTGATTGGCCGCTGTGTACTCGTCGTGTTGTTGTTGGTGTTTGTTTCTCAGGTGGCGTATTAGATTGGTCGTGTTGAACGTAGCTCTGTTCTTTCCACCACGCGGAACCTCCGCCTTGCAAACATTGCATCTGGCTGCTACACTGCCTTCGCTTTCAATTTTATAATACTTCCAAACTCCTGACATTTTCTCTGTCCCGACTCCCGAGTCACCAGCTGAACGTAGCCTCTCGTTAGCTTACTACTACTATTAGACACTGCGCCCACTCTGTTGCCAGATTTGAGAGAAATGAGCAACCAGGTCTATGAAAACAAGCCCAAAAGAAGTAACACATACATGATGTTGTCTATTTTTAAAACAAAACTAAGGCCTCAGGATGACTTTAAGACGTGAACATGGTCATTTCTGTTTTGTAACATTAAATAACATAATACAAATATTTTATAAAAAAAAATTCCCAGATCCCCGATTTTTTTCTCCAGATTCCGATCTTTTGAAAATCACGTGATCGGCTCCGATCCCCGACCACGTGATCATCTCCAATATATTTGTTTCATTTATATTTTAATATTATTATTATTTTAACTTAGGTCATTTACTTGGTATGTATAAATTGCATGATTTTTTAATTATGTTTTTATATGGACTATATACTTTCAGTCCAACTGGGAAATTCCCTCAAGCACTTCCTGAGATAATGCATTCACGAGGATAAGATGGACAACCTTAAAACATATCAAAGCAATACAAGAATTGTTTACCTCCGACTGGGCGTAGTTTTGGGACACCTCCTTGGAAAAGGCCTCCCAGTCCCATTGGTCCTCCGCCTCCAAAACCTCCTCCTCCTCCTCCTCCTCCGCCGCCGCCGCCTCCTCCTCCTCCTCCTCCTCCTCCAACGCCTCCTCCTCCTCCTCCTCCTCCTGATTCTGGTGAAAAGATGACACCCATGTTAATATATAAAACAAATATGAAAGCAGAACTAGGAATATATTTGAATATTCAAATATATGGATTTTGCAACACCATGGCAGTTGGACTAGGAAGAGCGAGCACAGAAAAGCTAGAATTCGGTCGTTGAACAAACCTATCCATTATGTGTGTTTAAGAGCACGCTCGGCACCAAGTCGTGTACTTAAACCAAGTGTTTCTCCTACAGATTGATTCAGCTGCACTGACACAAGGACTGGAAATGTTCCTGCCAACAGCAATAACTTCTAGCGTCATAGCTTGTTTTTTAAATGTTCTTCAGCTAAACAAATACAAACCAAAATCCCTATTACTTGCAGCCAGAAACCAGGGTGTAGTATTTTACTTTTATATTCATCTATCTTTGTTTATTACATTTTGGAATTAACACTGCATCGAGTTCTTGGAACTGTATACATATATATATTTTTTTTATTTGTCTTTTCATTCACCATTAACTGAGAAGCACTTGAACTCAGTACTCAGACATTTGGCAGAATAAATGTCTCTCAAAAATACTGTGCCAAGCCACAAGCAGTTGGAGAACTCAAATATCAATTGGGGCCCAAATAAGAAAGTGTTTCTTTGATGCATGTGTTGATTTCAAGAGACATGTCTACTACTGTCCAGCTTTACCAGGGTTTCCCACACATAGACTTCACTTGGGCGGGCCGCCCAGGTATATTAACGTCTGCCAAAGTATATTTCGCGACCCATTTAGGCTTAATCTTTTATTATCCGGCCACGAGCACGACGCGATCGATTAACTACCCCTCCTGAACCTGTTTGCTCTGCTTTATGCGCACCGCAGTAACTCCGCTGCGAGGCTCCGGCGAACAGTTCATGAGTGTGCTGCACTAGCACCCCCCCCC